TTGTACACTAATGTGAAACTTCTATCTTATTTTGCTGCCCATGTTGACCAGGACTCCCTGGATGAAGGGATATTGGTTAAATAAAGGATAAATAAAAAAACAAGTTTGGGGTGTCTCTGCCCTTGTCTTGGGTTTGAATCCCATGTCCGGCAGAGTGATCATGTCAATCTTGGGTCCTTGGCCAAGACCCCTAACCCCGACCCATAAGGATGCTGGCTGATCCTGCTCGCTGACCCCCAGATTTGATCACTTTCAAGTTGCTATGAACAAAACTCTTTTGCTAAATAGTTTAATGTAACTACACCGTTTTTAAATTTTAGTGTCTTTGTCAGTGTTATCTTCAGCTTGTGGATAAAAGAAGTAATTAGCACAAATATATTAATAATGATGAGTAGCACTCATTTCCATACCTGTGTTCTCAATAAGCAGCTGGTTTGTGTCTGAGGATTGGAACTGTATGGAATCGTTCCATTTTATATTCTTTAATTCAGTTATATAATGCCTATAAAAAAAACACTGACTTCAGTGTCTTGAATTTATTTTCTCATACATACCGATATGATTTAAAGGGTGGCATCGTTGATTTTTAATTAACAATAAGCTAAAATTATTCATACACTACATGGACAAAAATATTGGTGACACCTACAGGACCATCACACTCATGTTCATGACATCACACTCATGTTCATGCATCACACTCATGTTCATGACATCACACTCATGTTCATGACATCACACTCTAAATCCATAGGCATCAATATGGAGTCGGTCCCCCTTTTGCAGCTATAAAGCTGCTGGCATTCTTCCGGGAAGGCTTTGGGGCGGGGCGATAATACAAAGCGCTTTGAGACAATGTAATGTGAAAGTGCACTATACAAATAAAACTGAATTGAAATGAAAAAAAAAATTAAAGTATACTGAGCTGATGCCTACGGAAGGGGAACCAATGAAAAATGTGTATGTGGGCCATGGATGTGATCAACTCAGCTGATTCACCACTGAATTTGGGCCAAATATGTTTTATGCATTTACCAGAGCATTTTGATGTAGAGTCAGTGCTACTACAACATCTAATGCCTTCCTGGAAAACCTTGGCGGCGCGCCCCCCTCCGGACCCTGGCTCTTCTTCCTTCCCCGCTTAGTGGGGCCTTGGTGTTGTTCCTGCCGTGGAGCTCCATTTGGGTTAGGGTTAGGTTTAGGGTTAGCTCGCCACACTCCTGGGCCGGCTGGGCCTCCTGAGCACAGCACGCCTCCTCCCGGTCACGCAGTATGACCTCTGCCTCTTGCAGCTCGCCGTGGTTCTCAGCCAGCTGGGCCTCGGCGCCGCAACTCACCTCCTTCCGGCCGAGTAGCACCTCCTCCGCTGCATCAGCCAAGCGCTTCTGGTGGTCGCACTCCTTCTGCCAGCTGGCCAACTCACTGCGCAGCTGCTCCAGCTCCTGTCGATCCTGCTTCACGGACTCCCGCAGCTGCACCCGGTCTTGATGGCCCCGCTCCCGCTGCTCGTCAAGCTCGCGGCGCTCTTCAGTGGGCTGGGCCTCCCACCTGCGGCATGCCTCTTACCGCTCCAACAGAGCATCACAGAAGGCTCCAAGTGAGGACCTGCTCCTGGTGCGCTCCTGCTCAAACCATATCGCGCACTCAACTCATCACCACTGCAACAACCTCCAAAGCCTCCCATGTGACTGAGCAAACAAACTTCCTTTTATTTGATAATCTGGCTTTTCATGTTATACCATCATTATAATTTGGGTCACGCTTTCAGAATCTGGTGCTTGCTGTACAGAACAGTATTTTCATGTGAGGGGGCTCATTTAATTTAGTCATTACATTCCCATCCCACCCTTCATTCTGTCATGAATAAGTCCCTTCACTGGTGCAAACCACCCCTAAGCTTTTGAAGTCCCAAGTTTATTTTAAAGCATTGTGATATTCTCTTAATGGCTATTCGAAGAGTATCGTCACAGAATTGCTACATTGCCTGGTGAATTATTTTTGTTGGATGAATATTTTTACCCAGGTTACACAGTGATATTCTCATAATCCAAAATCGAAATTTCATATATATTCCATTTTTTTTTAGTTATTTGTTTGTTTGTTTGTTTATGTATATACATCATTATTTATTTAAACGTTTTATTTATTAGATTTTTATATATAAATATTTTTTAAATCTTTCATTAATTAATCAGTTGGGAATACCATAATGTAGTTCTAATGAGAAACAAATCATTTGAGCTTAATTTTTCCTATACCTACAATGTGTGGATGCAAAAAGGTTGATTCTTTTTGATTTGAAAACCTTCCCGACCTATTCAGTGAAAAGAACTGATTCAAAAGGATGATTCATTCATGAGTTGGACATCACTCATCATCATTCACTCAGATTGTTTTTGTTTTTGTGTGCAAGTATTGTTTCTCGCTAAGACCATAACACGTTGTTTGCTTTTCAAATTCAATGTTGTATTGGACTGGCGTACTAATACATCAATCAGATTATACAACACATTGTAGCAGGACTGACTGTATGTGAAAAAGTGTCATGTAGATTTGTTTGCTGAGTTTGTAATTAGAATGTCATGCCAAAGCTGAGATGTTTTGCTAAAGGAAATCAGGACTAACTTCTTTGGCAGGACAAGTTGGGCGGCTTCCTATAGGGAATGATGGCAAACCGTCAGTTACATATCAGGAACCTTTAGTTCATCTGAAGTGCAAACAGACATTCTGTTGCCAACCTTGAGCCCAAACCAGCGATCAGATTTCAGCTGGATTTGTACAGAAGGTGTTTGAGAAGGAAGATGAGGTGTATGAGAATGAGGAAGATGAGTTTGAATTACGTTACTGATATAAATGATATACAGGTTAAAAACTCAACTGTCCCCATTTGCTGCTTCTGGCTGTTGTACGAGCTGTACAGGGAACTTGGACACATGCTGATGAAGAGCTAATGTGCATCACTGCTGTACCACCATACTTGCAGTCCAGCGTACAAATCCAGCTGAAATCTGATCGCTGGTTTGGGCTCAAGGTTGGCAACAGAATGTCTGTTTGCACTTCAGATGAACTAAAGGTTCATCCTAAGGATGAGGTAAGCGTCCTACACACGCTGACCACTAGGTGCGGTCAGAGATAATTAGACAAGTATCCTTGGGCAATGCTTCCACTTTCTCCCTGCCATAAGGCATGGCTTCAATCAGTGATGAGCAGTGCTTTCTCTGTCCATTTGAAGACTTTTCAAAAGAGAAGACAAGGCAGGTGTCTCATTTACAGACCGCTGGTGCGCAAAACATATTGAGCAACACCTCTTCCTATCCTCAGCAAGCCCCTCCAAAACCCAGGCTACCCTGGTAAGTGTCCTTGGATAGGGTAAGATAAGGATACTCTGAGGCCAGTAATTTGTGAAAAACAAGTTATACAAGTGACCAGAAAGAGAAAAGGAAAAGGGGGGGGGGGAACATGCTTATGCAGTTTAACCTTAATACAATAATATTATCGGTGAATCATGGACGTCATATCTGAATCTCGGGATGATCAGTCCACACACGATCAGAATCAATCCACACCTCAATCACCTCACATGTATGACAGTAACAGGAAGACAATGATTAATTCTAGGCAACGTAATCATCCGGAAATTCGTCCTAACACCTTCTCTTCCCGTCTGTGGCTGACATTTGAATGTAAATTAGCGGACACGTGGTTATTTCAGTTTTCTTAAGGGTTCTAAAACCACAGCGTTTTGCTAATTTTTATCAGTGTAAAGGTTTGAAATACTGAATTATGCATAAGTTATAATTTAATCTTCAAATTATTAAATACAAATTTCTTACTTTCTCACTTTCCTACTCTCT